ACACACACACACACACACACACACACACACACACACACACACACACAACCACAGGTGTAAGTATTCTCTCCAGCTGCTCACTTGTTCACATGCAAGGTCGTCTTATCACTGCCTGCAGCTGTTGACTGCTTATAAAAATAAACAGTACATGGGTATTCCTCTCTCTTGTCTCACTCAAGTCTTTACGTTTGGTCCTTTTTGTTACACTGCTCAGAGAACTGCTGGTGTATTTCAATAACCACTCCCCTTCCATATGCTGTGTAATGCAGGCCGCCAAATGTACGCGCAGTCATTTAGATGTACAATGAGGACTAAAACTCTCTTTGCAGCCTCTTACATTGAGCCGAATAAAGGTTTTTATCGTACAATAAGTCATTTAAATGTTAACAGTTTGGAGGGCACAATACACAGAGACACATGGGCAGGGCCATTTGTATCATGTTTTTGCTTAGCAGACATACTGTTTCCTCTCTTTATTGTAGGCTTCCCGAGAGAGAGAGAAACCAGGCTATCACTGCTAACCCACTCAGTCCTATTAAGTTAAGGCAGGAAAGACACAATATAATTCATCCCCCAATGAGTCAAGTGGTCAAATGTGGACACAGAACAATTGCTGGTTTGTGAGACGGTTACTGACAACTGTGGGCATTAAGTACATCTAAAAGGGCCTTTGTCAAATAGCACCGCGTTGAGGTATTGTCTAGCAGTGACTGGTCCATTCACAATTAATAGCTTATTTTATGAGAGTGCTTTAAACCTCAGAGCTTCTGAGTGCATAAATGTTAATGGTTAACTTGGAAGTTCTTTTTTTTTCCCCAAGTGGGATCTTGACTAAAGAAAGGGTTGTTTTGCCATTCTCCCAACACAAATCCTCCCTCTTTAGAGTGATTGATTAGTCCAATCAAAAATGCAAATGAATTGTATTTATTTTGGTTATACCGCTAAATGCTAAGTATGATTGATGTCGGCTCAGGGGTTGCTGAGGGAAGGGGAAAAGGACACCGCGGCCTGCAGAAAGGGTCAGCCCTTGGCGACTTGGTGATAAATCTGGACCGTTATTAAGGTGAGATATGAGACATGACAGGTGTGATTGAACTATTCATCAATTGTGTCAAGAGTGATTAGATTGTTAATTGACCTCTGGGGAACTTATCAAAGGAGATAGGTAACCCCAGGCTTTGAAAAAGGTGCTTAAGTCTTCCACACAGAAAGAAAATATTAGCTGAAGCCTGCTCCTTTTCTGACACATGTGGACAATTGTGACAAATCATACTTTATGATATCCAACTATATATAGAGGTTCTATAAAGAGGTTTTTCACAGAGTAACTTAGAGTACGGTATGTGTGAAAAGCAATCTGCAAAATGAATTACATGCATTAGGTACGATTAAGCCAGTTCTAAATGAAAGCATGCATGAATACACACGCAGATCTGATTAAAGCCGTAAACCTTGGTGGCAGTGACGGTAACAAACCAAGTCATGAGTTCCACTCATTAAAGACTGCTGTGTTAGTAAAGGGGGATCCTCTTTGAGGTGAAACGACACTGGCAGACTCACAGAAGACTTTGAGCACAGTGGTGGCCTCTCCAACCCCAGCGGTGCCAGCGGTGACCTGGCAGTAGAAGTCAAGCTGGTCAGAGGGTTGAACCAAGGAGATGGTCAAGGAGAAGTCTTCTTCGATAGTGACCCGCCCAGCCAGAGGGGTGCCGTCATCGCTTTTTCCCTCGCCACCCTGGGAGAAAGCCACGCGCTTCCTGGTTCCATGCTCCTCCTGGATGTACGGACAGGTAGAGGCAGATATAGAAAGAGGGTGGATGAAACATGAGGAGTAATGGAAGAAGGAGAAATAAGACAAAGAAACAGCAATCAGTAAGAGAAAATGCAAATAAATAAAATAATAAAAACAAAGGATTTTTTTTTTACAGTGCAGTCATTTATGAAGCATTTCTAACACTTGACGGCTTTGACGGCCGAAAAAAAATGATTTTTCCAGTCGATGGATAGAGAACATTATTATCTGGAAATGACTTACAATGTACCACTCCACGACGGTGTTGCTTGGTGTTGGTGAGACCGTATATGTGCAGGGCAATTTGGCAGTCTCTCCTTTCAACACATCCACTTTAGGAGTCACGTTCACGGTCACAGCACCACTACAAACTGCAGAGAAAAACACACAAAGACAGAGAGAAAGAATATGATTAATGGCTCAAGCATAGAAAGCTAACGTGTTGCATCGATACCAGACATGACAGGCCGGTACACAAAAAGTCTGCATCCAAACAGTCGCAGCAGCCGGTCGCTGCAAAGGATAGCGAGCTACAAGTATCAGCATTCGCTTGAAGGTCTATTGAACAGCAGTAAAAGCTGTTAAGGGACCCAGAGGGAAGCTGGAGGGCCCTCGTCACTGTCGGCATTCTCCATTTAATAGAGACATTAGGATGCACAAATTGTCCCATATAACAATGGGAGCGAGTAGCAGCTAAGGCACAAGATGGACTCAAACTGGTTCCAGCGGGAATAGGGAACACTGTAGCTCTCTTAACTCTCTATACAGCCTAGCTATGGAGAGAAACAACGTGACAAGGAGATTGCATTACACAGAGGAAAGGCGGGGGAAAGAGGAAGGGGAAGGACGGAGAGCTAGAGGAAGGGAAGGAGCTCCATTTCTGCTAATGAAGTCACTGCAGCACATACAGTGTCATAAATCCTGGTACAGTGACACATGAAGTCCACTGTGTGGTGAGCGGGAGGCTCTAATGTTGGGAAAGAAAGGACAATTTCGTACGTGAAGTTGTTTCAATCTTTGACCATCAAATCAAAAAAAGTAAGCCATGATGATATGGACGCCATATTTCATAGTCTATGCAGTTTGATATGCACGGCCGCTTGGCAGGCTTGTATGACAACCTCTTTTGATAAAGACAATAATGGATGCATCAGGAAAGCAACAGTTAAACACTGCAAACACCGTTAAAAACCCCATAGATGTACACTCAATTCAATATTTATATTCTGGACACATGTGTAGCTAATGAACAACCCAGCCCCACACTAAATTAATCATGTCATCAATTTCTGGACTACAAAATCTACACGTAAATAATTTATTTGTTGTGCCAAACTTGCCAGAGTGGGGAGGATGGACTTCTGGGAATGCTAGCTGTTTGACGGGGTAGTTTATAATAACAGGGCAGAGAAATGCAGAAGGGAGAGATGAAAGAGTGTTTTGCTCAAAATGTCTAAAGCGAGACGAGTTGAGCTGAGGGACGGCCACCTTGTTATCGCTTCACTGTGAGGAAGAAAGAAGGCGAAGGATGGAAGGAAAAGAGAGAAGGCTGAGAGTTCATAAAGAGGAGATAACAGGGAGTGCCATCAAAAATACACACCGAGTGTTAGTGAGACACATTCCACCAGGGTCAGATGAGATTCCCCATGACCCACAAACCACACAGAGGTCAAGGGTCAGTCAAGCGTTGACATTTGATTGAAAGACCTCATGTCTCTTTTCCACCGTTCTTTCACTTCTTGATTTACTTTTTCACTTCCCTTCTCTATTTTCATCCTGCCTCTGATTTGCCTTTTTCTTTTTGCCTTTTTCATCCACTCCCTTTAAATATTGTGTTCTATAAGCTCAGCTCTCAAGTGAAACATTCGTTTTTGCAAATCAAGTCTCATGTTCCGAGGCTGCAAGAGGGATGTCGCCCAAAAGAAAATCCTCCTCTGCTTCCACGCCAACACAAACAGCGAGCCAGACAAGCAAACGTGCGAATGTGTGAGTAAACCAAGAGCTGTGCTTTCAGGCAGGCACTCGGGATTTAAGAGTCCTGTTAAGTGGTGCATGGGAAAAATAGACACACACACACACACACACACACACACACACACACGCACACATACAACATTAAATCAAGTGACTTGCTGGCACATCCACAGAAAGCCCAAATCTCAACTCAGTTACTCAAGTAATTTGGTTTTGGGGAAAACACTTGTTTACACAAATCACCAAATTAAAGAGACAATTCAGCCCAAAATAAAAAAATACATATTTTTCCTCCTCACTAGAGCTTTTTAGCAACGTAGATTGTTTTGGTGTGAGTTTTTGTATACAATGGGACTATATGGCACTTTACTGTATGTATGATGCTCAAAGCACCAAAAAAAACATTTTAAAATCTCAGCATCAAAGCCTTTTGCCAGAAAAACAATCGAGATTGATATGCGATATGAAAAATATGTTGTTTTTTTGTATTTTGAGGTGAACTGTCCCTTTAAGGTTGGACAGTGTTTGTGAGAAATGTAGGTTTAGGAACTGAGATATCATTACGTTTCCATCTGCTGGGTGCACATTTTTTAGCTGTTACTTGCAAGTAATACAAAACGCATCACTTTCACTTCCTGTGATATTATTCTTGGGTCATATTTTATGCACATTTTTCAGTCTCTGACACAATTTTGCCAGACATAATGGAATATGATTAAAAAAGCTGAATCCTCACGTTGAGATCAGCTTCATCTTTCATGGGATAATAATAGTCCCCTACTAGTGTCAACAACACAGAACAAACAACCCACCGAGGATGTTTGGATGGTTTGGATGTCTATGATTTAATCGCTTCGTATCTGACATAAGCTAGACGTGTTTGTTTTTTTGTTAACTGGGTTTGCTCAGTTGCTGGGTTGCATGCGGGTAAAAAAAAGCTACTGAGAGGCACTTAAAGCAATGATATGTGCTGAAAATGTAGATCAACAGAGTCCATCTGCACCTCATCTTTCTTTCTCTGCAAACCTCTTCCTCTCCCCCTCCCTCTCTCTCATTTGATTTTATTGTCACTCTCACCCTTGGGGTGTCATTCACAATATGTTTTGGTCCAGAGTGATCAGTCAGGCTGCTGCTCTGTGTTTTACACATGAGGCAGATGGACAGACAGAGACGGACAATTAAAGCATAATTAGGGAAGTCCTCTGTCCAATCTGAGTCTAGAGCAGTGTGTTTGTGTATTTAGAGACACATGCTGTTGGGTGTCACTGTGTGTGTGTGTGTGTGTGTGTGTGTGTGTGCGTGTGAGAGAGAGAGGGAGAGAAAGAGAGTGGCCGGGGCTGTTGGGGGTGGGGGGGGGGGCTGCTAGCTTCATGGGGGTCTCATTAGCTGGCGCAGGCCAGATAATCGGATTTAGCCAAAGAGAGGGAAAGTGTGTGTGTGTGGTGGTGGTGTGTGATGGGGTGCGTGACCGGGTGGAAAGACAGATGGGAACGAGACGGTCAGACTGTGACCTGTACACACACACAAACACACACTCTTACAGTACATCTATAATGCATGTGATATTTATGAGTAACTGAATGAATCACCCCAAAAAGCTACGGTTAAGTACAGTGTGTGTCGGGGCAAAAAAAGACCCAAGTCTGCAGTCAAAGCGGCGTGGCAGAGTGAAGACCCAGAGAGCGTGTCAGTCCCACATCTACTGAAAAGTTAATGTGAAACCATCTTTAATACTCTCTCTGTGTCTCTTTCTGCCTTTTTTCTCTCTGCCTGCATCTCTTTCACCCTCTCTCTTTCTCTTTCATACACACACACTGACACACACGAGGCGAGCGCCCCTCATTATGAAAAGAACCAGCTGGATCCTCTCTCTCCTGTCCTCTTTTCCTCTCTTGTTCTCCCCTCACCTACTGTCGTATTCTGGACATCAAACCAGGAGCCTCTTTCGCTCTCCGACTCTCCTCTTTTTATCCCTTATTCTCAAAGAGCATTCTTTAATACCCAGTGCACAAACTCACTTCTGTGTCTGGTCTGCGCATGTGCGTGTTTGAAAGACGGAAAGAGAATGCAAGATAGCACAAAGGCACAAAGGAAATAAGAAAAAGAGGAAGAATGAAAGGGTGAGAGAATAACAACAGCGTGCGTGGAAACTCAGTCTTACCTACATGACTGTCACCCAACTACAGCCTCTTTATGAAGCCACCATGAACCTCCTTTCACTGATAGTGTCTCCCTGCGAACCCAAACACCCCTCCGCATAAAGTAATGGCTGTTCTGGGTAACTCAGCTTTATTTAATTCTACTGTGTACACGAGATGACGGTGCTAGGGGTGCGAGGAACGTGTGTTAGATCACAGTCAGCAGGCGTTACGGAGATAGAGCGTGCACATCTGCATCAGTGCCAAGACTGTGACGAGAGTACGGAAGAATTAATCCATTCTGTGAGTCTATAAAGTTCAAGAGGAGTATGTGACCCGACAGACGAGGAATGTCCCGTGTGTACCTGTGTCCATGTGTTTGTGTGTGTGTGTGCGTGTGTGTGGCCTCTAACAGGATTAGTATGTTCGACTGTTGGCAAAGCAAACAGCGTCCTGTAGCTTCAATGTCACGAGAGCTGAGTCACCTTCAGCACGCGGTCATTGAAAAAACGACACAGAAAAATAACTTCCTCCTGTTTATCCATCACTCTCGACTGATCAGCCCCTCTTATGATGATTTCTCAAAGTCAATAGCTACATCCATACTTAATCATTAAGGGCTTACAGAGCCTGCATGCATAGGCTGTGCATTCAGGTTGCAAGGTTTAATCAATTAGTTGTCAACTATTAAATAATCTGCAACTTTTTTTGATAATCAATTATTTGGTTTGAAAAAAGTCAATATTCTCTGATTCCATTTTTCTGTTTCTTTACTCCTCTGGGATAGCAAAATGAAAATCCTCAAAAAACGCCATAAAAGATCAAATGTATTTTAAGTCCAATGTGATGCCATCAATTTGCTTGTTTTGTCTGATCAACACTCCATAACAGAAAGATATTATAGAAGCCAATAAAAGCAGCAAATCCTCACAATTGAGGAAGGAGACCCATGCAAGTTTCTATATTATCAAGAATAGTTGCAGATTAATTTTCTTTAGACTAATCATTTTAGCTCTTGTTATGTTCACTCCTGCTAGTTTCAGATGCTGATAGTGAGTAGAACACCAATAAATATTCATATTTTCAGCAAAAGCAGACATATTGCTTCTTAAGACCCGTTCTCTCCTGCAGGGTTCACCAGGAGTCTCACTCTCCATCACAACGTGAGTGAAAGAACGTAAACGCGGTTACTTTGTGGTACGTAAAAGCTGTGGCGTAACCAATGACTGAACTGAATTGCTGAGCTATAAAAGCATACC